GCAGGGCAGCCCGAGAGCCGCGCCTTGCTCCGCCCGGCCTTGGCACGCCCTGCGAGGAACGGTCCGAAACGGTTTTATGTTCTGCCGTGATGGGGGAGCGAGACCTGCAGAACCGGGGGAACCTGGCCTACTCCCAGTATTTCATAAAAACAAGCCCGTGGGGAAACAGGAACATCCATTCGCTCTTCTTTACGTCACATCTGTTGCCACATCTGGCTAAAAACCACCATAAACAAACACACCAGACCTTCAAACGCCATCCTTTTAAGATTGGTCTGCTCAAGCCCACACATACATCAGCCTTGTTCACCTGGTTTAGTCCCTCAGTAGTTCACACTCTCTCTCACGCCAAGAGACCATCGGCCGGAATGAATGAACCCCGTCTCTGTAAACACAGCAGAAGTTGCCCTTCTTGCTGTCGGGCTGTGCCTCGCCAGGCCGGACGCGTTCAACTGCCTGAAGAACTAATGAGGAAGTAGTGGGGAGGTTCCCGGGTGAAACGCACAAACTAGGGTTAGCAGTAGAAGAGGTAGGCTCACGGCTGATTTACACAGGAAAAATTTTTACTTATAATCTCGCTTCAGAACCGGGACGCTGCCAAAGCCTGCTAAGACAAGGGCTGCTGCGTAACTATTGTAACAGTTTGCTTTGCCTTCTGCTTTTGCTAGCTCAGCCCTGCTGGGAGGCAAATGATTAGGTTTAACTGGCTGCAGCTCAGTTTCGGTATCTCCACAACAGACGTGATAGTATTGTCAGTATTTCTTCCAGATTCCTGCTATCATAAACGGGTTCTTGCTTTGGTAATGTGTAAAACAAAGGGAGCAAATGTAGTTAAATCTGTGGGGTTTCATGCTCCTGAGAGCATCTTCCTGTTGCCATGGAAACTAATACAGGATCAGTTAGGAGGAAGTATTAGGTGATTGCAGGTGGTATGGTGGGTGGTGTGTTTGGTGTGATGGGGCAGTGTATATCAAAGGAGAGCATCTGTATTATAAAAAGGAGCAGCTCAAAATGGTAAGAATCGAACATCAGTGTTTACCCTTACTGGCCACACAGCAGTCACTTCATGGTCAGCAGCATGGGTAGGAAGGACATTTGTGAGTATGTAGGCTGACCTGTATAGCTTGAGAACTTCCCCTGAATTAATTTGTTTTAACTATGGCAGAAATCTACCCAACCTTGAATTCCTTGGATAGACATAAATAATGTTTATCAAAAATAAACCATGAACTTCCATGTAGGGAGCCCCGTTCAGACTGGACTTCCGTCTGGGACCCCACTAGGTTGAGAACTGTACAATTACAAAATGAGGAAGACAGTCCAAGCTGAGCAGCATAGAGCTCCTCCTTCAGTTTCTTATCTGTGGAATGAAGAGAATAATGATTCTCTTTTCACAGGGTGTTGAGAGTCTGGATATGCTGAAAAGCACAGACTGCTCAATACTGTGTTAAGAGGAGTCATAAACCTCCTATATTTGCCCAAGGGTATTAAAATCTAAGCAGACTAAACAAAAGATGTATGCTATGCTTGTTTTGAGTGAAGAATCCTAAGGCTAACCAATGTTAGCGAAATTTTGCAGGAAATGACCCCTGCAAAAATAGCTTTATTTTAATACCCTCCAGACCCTGGTGATAGCCCTCTACACATAAAACAACTACCTTTGCATTG